AAAAAGTTGATTATTTAAGTCAATTCTTCAAAATCGCATTCCTCATCATAATTGCATTCATCATCGTAATTGTATCCATTATATTTGTCATTTGAAACATATGAATCGTCATCTTGGCCTGTCTGGCTTCAGCCTCTTCACCCTAACCATTACTTTCATGCCAAACTCATCATCACGACTGTTCTTCTCATTTAACAGTTGCATAACACAAAGACTGCCACAATTAGACTTTGTGCCTTCCTCAAATGAAGGTGCATAACCCTAATTTTACACATGAAGAAAAAGATCAGATGAATCAAATTCGGTATCTATTAAAGTTCAGGCAATTACTCGCAGAGAGATACCTCCATTTTCTAAAACCTACCAGGATTTTTAACTAGGAACTACATTGCAAAATCATTATAAAATGACAAAAAAAAAAACCTTTGAACCATATAACTGCCCAATGAGTTAACTGATCATTCTAACCAGACTGATTTTCAGATATCACAGTTTCATGTCTTAATCCATGCTCAATAATAATACACCATCTTCCAAAGATTATTCTTTTATGTATTAAGTTCTATCCTAGAGTAGTTTGTGTGACTTGGATATACCTTTATTCCATTAAACAGGAATTTGGTGTCTGCACACTAACCAGACATTAAGAAAACAAAAAAATATATTGAACAAGTAACATCATTTGACAATTGAAATTAAACGTGCCATTAGATTTGATTGGCTTTTAGTCGCTTGTAGTCTGTGCATCAGTGAACAAGACCTTGGATGTTGACAGAACATAATTTGGGATTTGCAAAGCATGAATAAAGCAAAATTGATTCTAAAATAAGACATATAAAAGATGCTCACAAGCTCTTCATTTAATTTATCCAAAGCTTCATAGTTGATTTTTGAACTTAGCCTCTGCAAGAACAAAATGTCACATTAGTATCTGTTAAATAAATTATAAGTAAGACAATCAACATTGCAGGAAAATTTAAGCACCAAAAATCCCATAAACCAGTTTATTATTAACTTACATTCTTAGAATCCATCACAGTAGAAACTTTGACAGCCTTTTCTGGCTTTTTAGCAGGAGCAGCTTTCTTGGCCATTGTGGCTCGTTTTCTACTCTTTCCCTGCCAATTTTATAGTTGCATATAGAGATCAATACATAAGACTCAATGCTGGCAGTAAAACATACACAAATAGTTGAAAGATCAAAAAATAAGTCAAATGCAACATGCAAATAAGATTGAAGTGACAACTTTCAACACAGTTATGCAGTGTGTGACTCAAATAACAGCTCAGAACTAGGCAAGAACTCTAAGCTGGATGAGACTTCCAAGCCTATGCTTCAGATCACAATGCACATATGACATGCAGCAAACACAAACTCAAATACCAGAAACGAGGTCAGTTTTAAAAGTGAAGAATTCCTGCACAATCACAGAGCTAAGGAGAATGAAGAGGCAAATAATGCAGGGGCTGATAATCATGATTAACTACATAACCTCAATGATTTTTAATCTAAAGACTCAAAAGCCAAAAATATAGACAACAAATAAAAAGAAACCATGGAACAAACAGAAACTGAGAAAGCCCCTAGCATGGCACCGAATCCTTGTGAACACGCATATGATAAAATTTATGGATTTCCAAAGGCATTACCTTATCATAGTCCTTGTTCATTCCTTCCCAAATCATTCTTTTGAACAGTGCCGCCTGCTTGCTGTTAAGGTACCCAACAACCTACAAACCACAAGCATCATGCCTTCCATATCAAAATTCCAAAAATAAAAAATTGAAGCAACAACCATATACAAATCCAAATAAAAAAACAGCAGTTTACAGATAAGTCTAGACCAAGCACTATATACCAAGTGGCTATGATGGAAGTGACCTTGAAGAAAGCTGATGGATCATGGGCAGGGGTAGCTTTCAGTTTCAGGATCACTGCTATTGTCTTTCATTAATTTTTATCCTTTATTTTCAAACATAGAAAATGTGGTTGATTGTCATGAACCAAGAACAAAATTTTCACAATAACCATGAAAGGATATTCCAAGAGCATTGATATGTAGATTAAATTCAAATCATCATTGAGGAATATGAGCATCTACCTTCTATTCATCAACTTGAGAAAAATGGGCAACCACGATTCAAACTCAAGAAAAGCAAGTATATATATATATTATCTGCCTACCTCTGCATCGTCAATATCTGCAACCACGATTCAAACTCCAGAAGCAGCCGAGAAAGCATAGACTGCAAAAGAAGCCAAAGGACGCTGAAAGAGGCCATTGTAGTTTCAGACTTTCAGTCAATCGCAGTGTTCGAAAAATCGGCCTAGGCGGG